CCCCAAAACCCCAAAACCCCAAAACCCCAAAACCCCTTCTGTGTGTTAGAGTTGACACTAGGATTAAATAAGAAATTAGTCGAATTTTATTACAAAAAAGTACAACTTTACTTAAAAATATTATGTTTTGTTAACTTTTTATCTTCAAGATTATTCTGAGCTTGTTGAAACCTGTTCTGGAAACGCGTATCAATGGTTTTCATAGCATCATAATGAGCTAGAGAATGATTAACATGAATATCTTGAAAAATCTCAGTAGATAAATTTTTGGGTTATCTTTCTTCCATGTCAGAAGATCAACCACAAAAGAGCTCAGATCACAACTTCATACATCAATGACTTAAAGACGAAAAAGTAATAATCTGAAAACAGAATTCCTGCCCAAATTTGATTTGGACATACCAGTACAGACACAAAAATGGAAGACATATTAAGCCTCAAATTCTTTCTCCCCTTTTTGAGGTCTTCAAAACCATCAAAATCAGATTCCAGGCTAACATACACAAGCCTAGGAACAACGAACAAGCTCATCAGTTTGGAAGCAGAAATAGACAAAGATTCCTTTTCAGCAGAAATAGATGAACCAGTGAATAATGTAATAGGATGGTGAAATTTTAGAAGCTGAGGTTGGGGGAGGAGTAAGAAGTTTAGAATTTGGGGTATAAACTATAGAAATAACGGCATAGTTGGTAATCTATGGTGATGAGAGGGGTAAGGGATAATAGAAAGGTGATTAATTGTCTTAGAGGGCAGAATGTTGGAGACTCTTGGTTGTATCATGGATGAGGGCCAAGACAAAGCCAGCAGAATTCATACTTTCATTTATTTTCAAGTCATATGATTGCATCCTCCTTCTTTGTAAATTACAAGTCCTCATTGAGGACAAGGTCAGCCAGTAAAAACTTTGTTTGCATAACTTAAAGTATCAGTCTGGAAAGTAAGAGTATCTTTAACTCCCTTCACTGACTTCTCCAATAAAGTCATCTGCTCAAACTCTCTCCATTCATAATTGCATTCAGGACATTGTAACTTCTCTCTTCATGCATTAAGTTCGATAAATCCAGCATTTAAACACTTAGGGTTAGGGCAATTCCTGACATCAGTGGCATTAGATACATACAGCTTAGTATGCTCTTCATTCACTTTTTCAAACTTCTCAGTTCCTAATATCCTTAACAAGTCTGTATGCTTCAGTTCATGATTACAATCATGATTGGGGCAGGGTATCTTGACCTCATTACTCAGTCTATCCATTATAACCTTATTCTTCGCCCATTGTGCGATACAAGTTGAACAAATTACCCCTATCTCTCCTCTAAATCCCTTAAAATTCCCAACCCCCCTATTCAATCTCTAAACCCTGTTTAAAGAGCATCAATCCAGTGGAACTTGAACATAATTTAAGTATCAGACTATACAGCATTTTATCATTTTCTTTTATCAAAACTCAACTCCAAATTTTTAAATAAACCCAAAATCTTAAACTTTCAAAAATATGCAAATTCTTGGGGTTTTGGGGTTTTGGGGTTTTGGGG